TTAAGAGATGATTAGGGCATGAGGGCTCTACTCTCATGAATGATTAATGTCATTATCAAAGAACTGAGTTCATTATTCAGACAGTGGATTTGTTATAATTGTGAATTAGACCCTCTCTTCCTCTGTCTATGCCCTTCCATCAACAGATGATGCAGCACAAAGGCCCTCAGCAAATGTGGCCCTTCCTCTTGGACTTTCCAGCCTCCAGAACTGTGAGCCAAATACATTTCTGTTCATTCTAAATGACCTGGTTTGTCTCAGGTATTCTGTTATAGCAGTGGAAAACTGACTAAGACAGTGCTACAGTTGGGATCTGTACACAGTAATTAAAATGAAAGAGTTTGACTCTGAATGATTATTAGGTAAAGTGGTGGTTTCATTTTCCCATTTCTCCAGTATGGAAAGACGGAAGGAGAGGTTACTATTTGAATAAAAAAAACTAACTATATTTTTCTTGCATTTAAAAAATTTCCTAAATCCCTATGGCAATCAAACTCCAGCCACTGGTCAGGTAACCTTGGATAAATTACCTTATCTTCTAAAACTTCAGCATTCTCATATGTAAGTGTGAATAAAATGTATAGCTACTTCATAGGCTTATTGTAAAAATACACATGTAAAACACCTAGCCCAATGTATTGAGCAGAGTAGGTATACAATGAAAAGGACCATTATTGTTTATTATTTCTCTTAAGCCAGTTATGTGAAAGCTTATGTAGTTACCCTGAGAAACACACATGTTTGCTTATTACATAATATTTAATGAATACCTTCTATGTGTCCATCACTTCCTGCTGCTGGGGACATATTAGTGAACAAGACAAACAAATTCGGCCTTCACAATGATCTTATGATCCGGAAGATAAATTGACATTAAACAATAATTACTCAAATTACCATATAATTACTATCATAACAAGGGCTGTGAAGGAAAAGTGCAGGTGCTATAAAAGTATAAATGCAGTGTGTGGAAGTAAGTTTTTCTGAAAAATCAAAGAAGGCTCCCATAGGAAAATGACATTTACACTAAGATCTATCATCAACAAGACAGATTTGTAGGGGTGGCACTGATGGAATATAGTGAAGTAATTCAAATGTATAAATAAAACCGCACAAAGGATCTCATTTTCCTGAAGACAATTTTATTTTTTGAAAATGATAAAGGTTATTTGTAAAAATTTCTAAGGGTTTTTACAGATTGAAACTATTATTATAGGATGTCACTGAGTTGTTAGACAATATAAAAATTTTAAAAATTAATCTTACTAAACTTCAGGCTTCAATGTTGTTACTTACAACATGGAAATGGATAAGGTATTATTTTCTTTGGAGAGCTTTTAAAATTTGTTTATATTTTTAGGCATCATTGTGAAGTGGAAAGAACATTGAATCACACGTCAGGAGGTCTGGGTTCTAATTCTGACTGTTATTGGTTCACTGGGGAAACCAGAAGCAAGGCATTTAAACTACAGTTCCCTTTTTTGTAAAAGAGCGTATTGCTTTCAAAAGCCTGAGTTACAGAAGATAGGTAGAGGAACACTGACAGCTCAGGAGATGACAGTGTGGATTGGGGTCAGAGGGTTCCTGATACCTCATTCTTTCACCTAAATATTTGTTTGCTCTTCTTTTTTGGTTTTATGACCAAAATTAATTAATTAATTAATTAAAATTAAAATTAAAAAAGGACCAGGAGTCTCATTACCTTAAGATTGAGAGGAAAAGAAAAGATCAGTAACTTTTGTTAATAATGGGACAAATTAAAACCAAAATGAATAAACAACCAAAGCAAAGATGTATCATAATAAAAGCCTTAAAAATAGCCTTAAAATTGTAGTCAGTTGTTACAACAATGTAGTGCAATTGCAACTTTACTAACAAATAACACCAAGAGTTTCTTCCTCACACCAGTTAATACTACTTGCAGGGTTTTCGTTTGTAACAAAGTAGTATGCTAACCACTCAGAAATTTGTACTTACAACTTTTTCAATGGAAAAAGTATAAAGAATGATAAGCATTGCATATGTGCTTAATATATAGACCACTCTGAGCTAAACGTATCATGCTATGATATTGTCAGATAATTTTATTGTCACTTTGTAGGTGGGCTCTACCAAGAAAGTACTTTTCAATAGGCTTAGGCAAATAATTTATGACTAAGACCCCAAAAGTGAAGGCAACAAAAACAAAAATAAATAAATGGTACCTAATTAAACTTAAAAGCTTCTGCACAACAAAAGAAATAATCAGCAGAGTAAATAGAGAACCCAGAGAGTGAGAGAAAATCTTCACGAACTATGCATTGAACAAAGGACTAATATCCAGAATCTACAGAGAACTCAAACAAATTATCAAGCAAAAAACAAATAATCTCATCAAAAGGTGGGCATAGGACATGAATAGACAATTCTCAAAAGACGATACACAAACAGCCAACAAACAAATAAAAATTGCTCAACATCACTAATTATCAGGGAAATGTAAATTAAAACCACAACGAGATACCACCTTACTTCTGCAAGAATGGCCATAATTAAAAAGTCAAAAAACAGTAGACATCAGCATGGATGTGGTGAAAAGGGAACACTTTTACACTGCTGATGAGAATGTAAACTAGTCCAACCACTATGGAAAACAATGTGGAGATTCCTTAAAGAACTAAAAGTAGATCTACCATTTGATCCAGCAAGCCCACTACTGGGTATCTACCCAAAGGAAAGAAGTCATTATATGAAAAAGATACATGCACATGCATGGTTATAGCAGCACAATTCACAATTACAAATATATGGAACCAACCTAAGTGCCCATCAACAAACAAGTGGACAAAGAAAATGTGTGAGAGAGATATATATATATGGAATACTACTCAGACATAAAAAGGAACAAAATAATGTCTTTTGTAGCAACATAGATAGAGCTGGAGGCCATTATTCTATGTGAAGTTACTCAGAAATGGAAAACCAAACATCGTATGTTCTCACTTATAAAGTCGGAGCTAAGTTATTAGGATGCAAAGGCATAAGAATGATATAATAAACTTGGGGACGCAGGGAGGGGGGAGAGGTTGGGGGGGTTAGGAGTAAAAGATAACATCTTAAGTACAGTGTACACTGGTCAGGTGATGGGTGCATCAAAATCTCAGAAATCACCACTAAAGAATTTATCCATGTAACCAGGCTGGACACAGTTGCTCATGCCTGTAATCCCAGCATTTTGGGAGGCCAAGGCAGGCAGATTATTTAAGGTCAGGAATTTGAGACTAGCCTGGCCAACATTGTGAGACCCCCATCTCTACTAAAAATACAAAAATTAGCTGGGCACGATGACACGTGCCCATAGTCCCAGCTACTTGGGAGGCTGAGGCAGGAGAATCGTTTGAACCAGGAGATGAAGGTCGCAGTGAGTCAAGATTGTGCCACTACACTCCAGCCTTTGGGGCAGAATAAGACTCCATTAAAAAAAACAAAAACCTATCTATGTAACCAAAAACCACCTTTAACCCAAAAAACTGTTGAAATACAAATAAAAAATTAATTATAAAAGAAGGAAGTGTTATCAATCCACAATGATTGTTATTATGTAGATAAGAAAACAGGCCCAGCAGGGTGGCTTACACCTGTAATCCCAACGCTTTAGGAGGCCAAGGTGGAAGAATTGGAAGAGTGTCTTGAGTCCAGCAGTTTGAGACCAGCCTGTGCAATGCAGAGAGAACTAGTTTCTACAAAAAATAAGAAAAGAAAAAAAATTGGCTGGACATGATGTCCATATGTGTAATCTCAGCTATAGGGCAGAAGTGTGGGAGGTTGGAGAAAGGGCACTAAGGTTGGAGGATCTCTTTGAGCCCAGGAGATCAGGACTGCAGTAGCTGTGATATCACCACTGTGCTTCAGTCTGGGTGAGAGCAAGACCCTATATCAATCAATCAGTTAATCAATCAGAAAACAGGTAAATAAATCAGAATAAAAAATAGAAGATTGCTATCCGAGTCTATTTTGTTCTGCTTTTATAACATATAATGATACATATAAAATATAATAACATAATATCTGAGACTGAGTAATTTATAATGAACAGATATTTATTTGGCTCATAGTTCTGGAGGTTGGGAACTCTAAGACTGAGGGGCCAGATCTGGTGAGAGCCTTCTTGCTGCATCGTTGCATGGCTGAAGGCAGAAGATCAAGACAGCTCACGAGAGAAAGAGAAGGGGAGTCATACTCATCTTTTTATCAGCAACCCAGTCCCTTGATACTCACATTAATTCATTCATTAGAGCAGAGCCCTCATGACTTAATCATCTCTTAAGTCCCACCTCTCAACACTGCTGCATTGGGTATTGTTTCAACATTTGGACTTTGGGGAACACATTGAAACCATAGCAATTGTCTTAGACTTTGTGGAGCTAACCAGTGGATTTTTTAACTTCAATGCTAAAAAGCAAATTATTTTTGGTGAGATTATTTATCTCCAATATTAGATTTGTTAATAAGGTAATCAAATGTCATTATTTCAGCGATGTTACTAATAACTAAATGCTACAGCAAGAAAATTCTTCTGCATCCCCACCATTCTATCACTACGTAGTCTTCCACTCAACTGTCTTGGGACAAGCAGAAGAGGAAGCAATTCTTTACAAATGCCAGAATCAAAATGTGTTGGCAATCAATAAAGGTACAATAAAAGATCTCTAATATTATTCCTTTGGTTAAAATTAATTTCTAAGAATTTGTGTCAGTAGACAGTGGTGGGGTTCAAGACACACTATCCCAGCATATGGCACCTTGGCATTTAAGAAAGCAGCAGACGCAGGAAGGGCTTTTTGACCTTCTCCCCACTCTTCTCCCATGAAGCAGGCCATAAAAGAATTAACTGATCTTCCTCTGAAGGAGGTTATAAGACCCTTTTGTAAGAAATGCCCTCCCTAAACCTAGAGGAAAAGAATGTCTTTATCTCTGAAGACACAGGGACACAGAGAAGAATCTGAACAAACAGGGCTTGCTAAGTTTTTCCCAGTTTATTAGCACTATATCATAACCCTTTAGTGCAGTCATCCTTCTCTTTCATCAAATTTAGCCAAAAAATACACTGGTTTCCCTTTTTCTTTGGTTCTTCATTTCTGAAGGCTCTTGAGTCACATAAAACTTAAATAAATTTGTATGCTTCTCTCTTGGTAATCTGCCTTTTGTTATAGGTGCTTCAGCCATATTTTAGCCACTGGTGGGAAAAGAAACCTTTTCTTCTTCACAACAGGGTGGTTGATCAGGTTGAATTCTTATGAATTGGTGAGGGTTGGGCTAGAAGGAAGCTACTTAGAACAAATGAAGGAAGTCATGAAACATCTGGGTCTGTTGAAAGCTTCTCATTTATTCCTGTTAACAGTATGAGAGAGACATAATGAAACAAATTTTAATAATATGAGAAGTCTTGAAATTGTTTCAGTTTTCAATCCTTTGATAAAGGAAAGCTAATATAAAATAAGAAATTGATAGCATATACATGCACAAAGGAAAGAGAGAATCTGTTTTATTAATCTTGTAGAGAAACAAATATTAATACAATCAACAAGCCTGGAAAAAGATGAAAATGTGTTTTTCTGCTGTTCATCCTGAAAATCTAAGTAAGAACTTTGATTCTTTGGGAAGCCATCCCTTAGAAATTGAGTTGTAGGCTAGTCTTTCTTTAACCATCTCAGAAAAAAGCAAGCAAACAAACAAACAACAACAACAACAAAAAAAAACAAGAAAACAACTGGAGCCTTTTCTCCGAAATCTGGAAAAACAGGAAAAAATCTGCATTTGTGGTTTCCCAGTGTTCAAGTCTAAATGACCTGAGGTGTGGTAGATAGCACACCGGGGACTCAATAGTTGCTGTTTAGTTGGTTGCTTCCTAGTCTTCAGCAAGGGGCCTGGGAATTTTCCTCAAGATGGAAGACATTAATTTAAAATGCTGCTCATGTAAGTAAGCTACAATCTTAGAAATGGTATCTCTTCTTAATGAGGTGTTTTATTCATAGAAAGAAATAGAAATTAGGCATTTCAATAAGGAAGAGTTTGAAACTAAGCCCTTGTTAGTTAGTGCTCTCCAACTGCAGTCTGGGGAAGGTGTGTTAGCAGCATCCAAAATCACTTGCTGACGTCATCACCCTACAAAAGAAGAGTCCATCTGATTATCCAATGGGATGAGGCCTCTTAACTTTCTGCACCCCTTTTTACTCTGATTCCGTACTCACTGAGCAAACTTCTGACCTAAATTTTATTTTTCAATTAGACTTTCCTGGAAGTAAAATGACATGAAGGTTCACATTGCTTCACAGGTATCCTTTTAGTGTAAATTAGCAAATTCAAACTCTGGATTTTTTACAAGCTTCTAACAGATAATTAACATGAGTGAGTCCTTGAAACTCTGTCTGTTTAGCGGTTGAACTAATAATAAAGTGAATTTCTGAGCATACTCAGTTTTAAATTGATAGAACTCCATAAGTTAGATTTATTTGTCCCGAGAGTTTCCATTTGGAAAAAAACCTGCCAAACATTCTTTTTTGCGCCAACATTTGAACTGCAATATGGATGAACTGAAACTCACATTCCTTCATTTAACCTGAAAAATAATTTGTGAAATCTTGACACGTGTAATACTTATGTTTGTTTAAAACTATGTTTAAAACTTTAATTTAAATTCAAGTAATCCCGGCACTATCACTTGAAGCCAAGAGTTTGAGACCAGCTTGGGCAACACAGTGAGACCTTGTCTCACAACAAAAAATAAATAAAACAAAAATAGCTAGGTGTCGTGTCCCATGCCTGCAATTCTAGCTTCTTGGGAGTCTGAGGTGAGAGGATTGCTTGAGCCCAGGAGATGGAGGCTGCAGTGAGTTATGATTGCACCACTGCACTCCAGCCTGGGTGATAGAGCAAGACCCTATCTCAAAAACAAAATGAAACTAAACAACAATAACAAACACCCAAAAGTAAATTATATTAATGATGGTAAGTATTGAGGCTGTTCCTTATATTATTCTTGAGTGTTCATTATATTATTCTATTTTTGAAAACTTAAAAAGTAAAACCAAACAAAAAAAAAACAACAAGACATACCAGGAGATTTAAAATCCATCTTCAAAGAACTTTCTAAAATGAAGGTAATGTGATTTGTTCTCTGCCTGGATTTTCAGTGTATTTGTCTCCACAACAAGGAAAACTTTAGCTCCAGTTACTTGGGCAATGCTATCAGGTGTCCACCAGCTCTGCCTCTGGCTCTGAGTTCTTTCTGTGCCAGAAGGCACTATATTTGGATCTGGGTATAACAGTTGATACTTTGGCTCCAGTTGTAATGAACCAACTCATTTCTTTTCTAGGAGCGATTGTTCCTTATTTGCCCTTGCTAATCATATTGAAGTATTTTCAAATAGGTAGCATTTTGATTTTCCTGTCTTGATGAAAGAATTAGAAGCTTTTTATTTATTTATTTATTTTAATGCCAAGGTCTCTATCCCCTTATATGCCAAGGGGATCTCTTGTTCAAAATTTATATATATTTCTGTCTTTGGGCTAGAAACACTTTAGTGTTACAGAGTCTAAGTTCCAAAATGATAACACATTGATTTAATTGCCACTATATATATAATATACATTTAATGTTTCTAATAACATATTTACTAAACAATATAAATTATAAATAATATAAAGCTATGTTAAATATAACAAGAGAACAAGAATTTGTCAAGGAATCTGACCAGATAAATATAAAGAAAACTAGAAATGTCTTTAGTTTTCTTCCCCCTACAGATTAAGTCTTCCATAGAGAGACTTACTGGTCCAATACATTTTTTAATTGATGTTAATTTGGAAAATGTGGTATTTATTTTGCCTATGTTTTTGACAGTACTCTTTTTTTTTACTTTAACCAGTGTGTTTGGGTTGTTTGTTTAAAAAATATCAAAATTATCTTTTAACATTTAATATAACTGATTAAGACTGCTCTATGAAGATTGATTAAGGTGTGTCTATATCAAAAACTTGGGTTAAATTTTAAAATAAAATAAAATTACTTTTTTTATTTTTTGAGATGGGATTTCACTCTTATTGCCCAGGCTGGAGTGCAATGGTGCGATCTCGGCTCACTGCACCCTCTGCCTCCTGGATTCAAGCAATTTCCTGCCTCAGCCTTCCGAGTAGCTGGGATTATAGGCATGCTCCACCATGCCTGGCTAATTGTTTTGTATTTTTAGTAGAGCTGGGGTTTCTCCATGTTGGTCCGGCTGGTCTTGAACTCCCGACCTCAGGTGATCCACCCGCCTCGGCCTCCCAGGGTTGTTACAAGTGTGAGCCACCGCGCCCGGCCTTCTTTTTTACTTTTTCTATTTTTTTTCTTTTAGAGGTGGAGTTGCCCAGGCTGGAGTGCAGTGGCATGATCTAGGCTCACTGCAATCTCTGCCTCCTGGGTTCAAGCAATTCTCCTGCCTCAGCCTCCCGAGTAGCTGGGACTACAGGCACATACCACCACCCCTGGCTATTTCCTTTGGTACTTCAGTAGAGATGGAGTTTCACCATGTTGCTCAGGCTGGTCTCAAACTCCTGAGCTCAGGCAATCCACCTGCCTGGGCCTCCCAAATTGCTAGGATTACAGGTGTGAGACACCTCGCTTAGCCTACATAATTAAAATGTCTAATAATTTCGTTTTACCTAGACCAAATTTGTAAATATTTTATTTTTTAGACTTAATTTGGATGTTTGACTGGTATTAATGGAACAGCCATATATATGTTCTGATATTTTCCTTCCTAGAAGAAATTCATAGGGAAAACCAAACATTCAGTGAAGTTTTAAATTTGGTTTTTCTGCTTTTTCACATACTGAAAAATAAGTTATTATTATCAGGGGGCTCCTTTCTATAGAAACAGCTATAACTCTTAAAAGAAATAATGGTTTCAGTTTAAGCTATTTGAGAAAATATTTTTTACAATTTGGTTTAGGGATTTATCTTCCAATCCTGAAATGATTTTTATTATAATTAATCATTTTACCTTATCGTAGTTCATCTAATGCTATGTGTTACTTATGCGAAACATAAAAATAGTCAAGAAAGTTTATGATCCTGAATTAGAACCATGTAGGGCTGAATCAGACTTTCATGAAAAGAGAATTCCAGAGATAAAAACTTCCATAATATACTCTGTAAAAGCAGCCATGTATTTTAGTTAAGTACATAGTCATATAGGCAGATTTCCTGGCTTTAAAACTTGGCTCTGCCTATACTAGCTAGACGTACAGCTGTGAGCAAGTTACACTAACCCTGTGTCTTCATTTTCTTATTGGAAGAAACTATAATAGTAAGTACTTAGGTTGCTGTGAGGATAAAATAAGTCAATACATGTGAAGGAAAATATTTAGCTTTTATTATATGTATATGCAGAAGAATTTTTAGCTTTTATTAAATGTTTTATTAAATCTTTAATAAGAAATTGTTATTATTCAAACTTCCCATTTGTTCCAAAGGTATTTGTTATGTATATATGAATGTATGTGACCAAGTATGTGTATATAATCATGTTATGTGTATTGATATGTACTAATACTACTGCTCTTGATTTTCAGTTTATTATAAAAGTAAAATATTTTCATAGAAAATTTGAAAAGTATAAAAAGCAAATAGAAGTATAAGGCAATTACAGCAAGTTTCACCACCTAGAGGGCAACCATTGATAACATTTATAGTTGCACTTTTTCCATGAATTTCAAAATGTAAGCGTTAATGTGTAAAATAATATTTAACTGAAAATGGTTGGATTTTGCTATTCATACACAGCAAAACTCCTGTTATGTTGTTCACGCCTTGAAATTCGAAGATGAAACAGGCATCAAACTTTGGCTAGGGTATTGTTCAGAAAACATTTTGTCATGTGGAATAACCAGGTCTTGAAAATATTTAGATTCCAGTTTCATATCTCATAGTTTAAAAAATTGTCTTGCTTACTTTCTTCATCTGTTAACCTTTTCACAGCTGAGAGAAAGTGGCTTTGAGAAAATTCCCAGAATTAATTTTATGAAATTAAATGTTGATAGGTATGTGCATATTGCACAGACTGGCAGAATTTGCTGTGATGTGTAAATTAAGTATTATCAATGGGATATTCTGGTTTTAGTATATGTTATTGATCCACGATCATTCTTTCATAGTATTCCTTATTTTGGAAACAATTCTATGCTTTAATCAGATTTTTTTAAATGAGTTGATTCATCACTCTTAGGACTATATCCCTTACATTTTGGCTAGGAATGACATGCCTTAATGCATTCCACAATGACTACAAATGTGGGTACCTTCCAACCAAAATATTAGTTTCCTTGCTTTCCCAGAGTATGTAAATGGATTTGAAAAACATTTAGTAGAGGTACTATTTTTTGGGTGGAGAGATTTTACTGTAAATAAAGTGTGTTAGGATTAGGTTTCTCCAAGGATCTTTCCAATCCAAAATGCCACTTACTTTAAGACTTCATTTGTACATTTGCCTTGTTAATAATTATGTCCTCATAGCCCCACTATTGATGGAAGATCCATGGAAAAGCTTCAGAAATTCTACATCCAGACATGTGAAAGACTATCTAATGAATCAGCAGAGATTAGATCAGTAGTTTGGGACCAAAAATCATACTTAAAGAAATTGAGATTTAAAAGCCAATCAATTTAAAATTAATTTTGGACTAATACAAGCTTATATTATCATAATGAGTTTAATCAGTTCATGTAGTTTTTCAAAAACCTTGTGTCATTTTATTCTTACTATATAGAATATATTATAAATACGAAATGTAAAGAATGGCCTCATAATCTAATTTCCCAAATATAACTACTATATATACAATATATATATGTAAATGTAAATAAGGTCTAGAATAAGAAGTGTTTTATTTGTGATTCAGAATATTCACAACTGGTATTAGCTCTTTTATTGGTTAGAAAGTTGATAATGAAAAAAAAGAAGACATTTATTTCAAGATTTTAAATGATGGTGGGTTATACCATACCACCTAATGGAAATGCTTCTAAAAATCTCTAAAATGCCTAATTTAAAAAGTCATCAATTTAAAAAATCCAAAGAGCAAACATTTCAATATTTTTCCAAAAAATGAATTTGCTTTGACATCACATATCTTTGGGGCATGATAGACACTAAATAAGAGTGCATAGAAGTTTAGTGACTTATGCAAAGTTGTTGATGATTAAAAGAATCACCCATAATGTGTTAGTCAGGGTCTTGAGCAGAAAGAGATGGTATACTCAAATGTGTTTAATTTAAAATAATTTAATAAAGGACTCTGTATAGTTGTATGGGCAGGGTGTCGTCTTCTACTACCTTTTACAAATAAGATCTTTCTAACTGAGCACTATCACAGTGAGCGTTCTCTGTGTTCTTTTTTTTCACATTTTCCTTAACTCCTTAGTAGAAATCTGGAAGGTATTATGATGAGCACATAATGCTAACGAGATAAATAAAAAGCTAATGATCTTTTCATTTCTCTCTTTTTGGTATCCTAACACAGTGCTCCTCAACTCTTTTTACATCAAGGCAAACTTGGAAACTGGGAAAATGGATGAGGTTTCCAATTCCAATCTGCCCTACCTCCCAGATTGAGAAGATTAATTTCTTGGCAAAACCAACTAATTGGGAAATTCTGCTCTAGGCTCATTTCTTACTTTAACATTCTTAAAATACAGTAGTCCCCCCTTATCCATGTTTTTACTTTCTGCAGTTTCAGTTACTTATAGTCAACTGTAGTCCAAAAATATTCAATGGAAAAATTCCGTTTAAGAAATTCATGTTTTAAATTGCATGCTATTCTGTGTGGTGTGATGAAATCTCACACCATCCTGCTCCATCCCACCCAGAACATGAATCATTCCTCTGTCCAGCATATTCATGCTGCATATACTACCCACCCTGTTGGTCACTTAGCAGCCATTTTAGTTATTAGTTCTACTGTCCCTGTATGGCAGTGCTTATGCTCAAGTAATCCTTATTTTACCTAACAGTGCCCCCAAAGCGTAAGAATAGCGATGCTGGGATTTGGGACATGCCAAAGAGAAACCAGAAATTGCTTCCTTCAAGTGAAAAGGTGAAAGTTCTCAACTTAACAAGGAAATAAGAAAATTGTATGCAGAAGTTACTAAGATCTATGGTAAGAATGAAGCTTCTATCCATGAAATTGTGAAGGAAAAAGAAATTCATACATAGCATATGTAGGGTTAGGTACGAT